AGATGAGATTTTAATCTTTAACCCACTTTGTATTCAATTTTTTAAAATTCAAAATTCGTCCTATGTTTATTTTTATGATATAACATCTACCAAAATATTTATTTAGTACTTTCATGAATACATGAGTTTTCTAAATTCTTAAAGCATGATTAATTATATTTAGCGGTTTGCTAATTCAAGCGGATCACTTCAAATTTTTATAAGCATATAATCAGCTCGACTCGTTAGACTTGCTTAACAACAAATTCATAAATTTTTTAATATGAATTGTGTAGTTTTTTTTTTAATCAAACCCCAGTGTTTCTCTCTAAAAATGGGAAAAAAATACCCCAAATCGTCAAGCCCCTAAAGAAACCTCCGATCAATTTGCGGCCGCCTCCCTTCCACCGGCGCCGACTTGCCACGACGCTGACTTCACTGGAGCCCGGGGAGTCTCTTCCCACGGTGTCCCCTGCAAAACCGACGAGGCGCTTTTCCAAATCCTGGTGGCCTTGGCGGTGTAGTTGCAGGGTTGTGGCGTCGGGTGGTAGGCTCTTGGCCGCTGTCGCCGTGTCGCTTTCGTGGGGCGGCCGACAGCTGAGTTTTGTGATGGTGTATGCTCCCTGGGCCATCCCGTCTCCTGGTGCTGTGGTGGATGGTTCGACGGTGGGTGCTTTCAGTTGCCGGTGGTGGAAAACGGACAGCTCTCGACCATACTGGAACTCGCGGTGGGACTCGGAGTGTTACCGACATGAGGTGGTTCGGCTTGTGTGTTCGGGTTTAGTTAGCTTGATTGTAGTTTTTAGGGCTGCACACGAGTCGAGCGGCACGCGAGCCGTTCGCGAGCGCTCGAATCAAAGCTCGACTCGAGCTCGAGTTTGACCGAACTCGAGCCTATATTTTTCATTGTTGAGCGACTCGAAATATATTATAAATTACTAAAATGCCCTTGCATATATATATATGTATCATAATATTAAAATATACTTAATGGTACAAAGTTGCTTAAAAAAATTCAAACCGAACTCGACCGAGCTTGAGCATTTTGAATTCGAGTCGAGCTCGGATAGCTAAAAAAAACCTGCCGGATAAGGCCAATGCTCGACTCGACTCTGCTCGTTTGCAACCTTATTCTATGCTACCTATGTGTAGGCAGGGGCGGATCTAGAAAAAACTTTTGGGGGGGGAGGAGGGGGGACTAGAGTTGTTAATCGAGAAAAACTATCTACGAACACAACTCGGTCTGACTAACAAAAACTCGAGCTTAACCTTTTATTTTACTTAAATGTACTAATCTTAGACAAAAAATCGAATTTGTGTATTAACTTAGTTGTGTCTTACTTGTTTATTAAATGAGTCAAGCGGAGCTAACTCATTTTTTAATCAAAGACGTGCTTGCACATGAGATATTTTAGTTTGGTTCGACTTGAATAACACCTTTAAAGATGACATATAATTTATATATAACACACACACACACACAGACATGCATACAGTTTCATTTTATATTAAATAGATAAAATAAATAATAAAAATGTACAAAAGATATAACTTATGGACTTTGATATTATAAAATTATTTTTGATATTATTTCATATCACGAGACTCATTGACAGATGATTCATTGTTAATGGTTGTTGTGATTACTTTTCGATCCTGTAAAATTACATATCTTGCGTG